TTCCGAGGCTGTAAATCTTTACGGGAGCAGAACACCTTATCTTTCTCCCGCGGAGCGGCTGGTAGTTTCAAACTGCTGACCTTAAGGTTCACAGTCCAATTCGTAACCACTACACTACAAGAGCTCCTTAAAGAATGAATAGCGCGACATAATTACAGACAAATCAGTTACTAAACTAATTACTTTTAAGAAAATATAATAAATGCATATAGAAAAGAAAGGGAAAAGGAAGAATGGGGAAGAAAAAGAAAATGGGCAATTTTGTTGGGATATGTACATGACACAAAGTGATTCGGGGATTAAAAAAACAAAGAAACAAAAAACCTGATGGGCCTATAACCACTATAGAAATGAAGTCAATCTTTAAAATTTATTCATCAAAAAAGAAATCACCAGAATCAGAGTATTTTACCAAGAGTTCTAACCAAGTCTTCAATTTTAAGACACAGGGTTCCAGAGAACAAAAAGAGAAAACTGCTCATTTTACGAAGTTTGTAATAACATTGCTATTCAAATCAGAAATGGACAGAACGAGAAGGAAAAATTTCCAGGACAGTCTGATTATAAAAGCTATCATACACTTATCCTCTAGCCCCAGGCCTGGTCCTCTACCCTAACAGCTACACTAATCTCGGTGACAACCAGAGAGAGGCTCTCCTCCCTCCCGCCCCTTATCCGCCACGACTCTCTAGTCCTCAGGTCTCTCTCTATGGTTCCGGGGCGGGCTGGGCCTCCGGAGTTTGAAAACTGTGGCGGGAAGATGGCGGCCGTAAGACCGGGTTTCTCCCGAGTGGGCTGGCACCGGGACTGTAGTTTGCCCTGAACTGGCGAGAAGGCTTCGCGATGAATCTTCTTCACCGAAGTAGGAAACGGCGACGTTCAGCATCAGGCTCAGACTCCTTCTCGGAAAGTGGCGATGACAGCAGTGACAGCCCGCAGATCCCCTCGGGTTCAGTGCTGAGCCCGCCCCCGGGCCTGGGTCGCAATTTGAAGGCTCACGGCCGCCGGTCGGCCGCTGCAGCAGGTACAGCCTGGGATCCTGGAGAGTGGGGCGAGGTGGACAGCGCCACCCGGCCACTTGGCGGGAGCTGTCCGGGGGGCTTCCTCATTGCGCGTTTTTCCTATTTGCACTATCGATTCGGCTTCTAACTCGTACAGAATGATCTTTGTGTTGACATGGATGTGCTTTCTACCCGTAGTCAGTGACTGCGAGTTGAGCCATTACAATATTTTCTGAGTTTATCACCTTTTACAGAAACAACTTCCTAGTCCTGCAAATTCCAGAAAAGGCTTCTCTCCTCATAGTGCTCAGTATTTCACAGAGATATCCCGAATTTTTCATGTCTGGAGGATGGCACATGCTGTTTGGAGCCCAGGGGAAGGGTAGAAGGGATTTGTGATGTTTTCTTAGGTTAGATTTCATAGATTGTGATTTTTTTCCTTAGATTTACTGACCCAATTTTTTATTAAAAACTTAAATAGAAAGGTTCCAAAACTCTGCAGTTTGCAGTTCATTCCTTTTTGCCCCCTATTATTACAACACTCCTACGGTTTGTTTGTTTGGGGCTTCTAAGGAACTGTTTTTATTGTTATTGTTGTTGTTAGGAACCACTAAGTTGGTACCTACTCACAGCTACCCTGTGCACACCAGCATGAAACACTGCCCTGTTCTGGGCCAACCTCACAATTGTGGCTAACCCTGGACCCATTGCTGCTGCCACTGTGCCAGTCCATCTTGTTGGGGGTCTTCCTCTTTTTCTTATATATCTATTTATATAATAATTATTTTTAGTATTGCCTTACACAGTGTTGGAAGTTGAGTCCCATAGGTTGGAAGGCACCCAAATACACATTTGCTTCAACAATGGTGCAGAACTGTTGTACATGGGGTCACCATGAGTTGGAACAATTTAAGGTCTCCCAAATCTTGGAGTCCTGGTGTGGCGCTGTAGGATAAGCACTCGACTACAAGGTTGGTTTGAACCACAAGATCAGAGAGTCAAACCCACCAGCTGGTCCTCAGAAATCCAATACAGGGTTGCTATGAGTCAGAACGGACTTGATGGCACTTAACAACAAGAAGTCCTGGTGTGGAGTCCTGGTGTGATGCTGCTGTAGGATAAGCAAGGAACTATGAATCATAAAGTCGGCATTTCAAACCCACCAGCTACTCCTCTGAAACCCTATACAGGTTCACTATGAGTTGACGCTGACTTGATGGCACGTAACAACAATAGTGGTGCAATGGGTTAAGTGTTAGGCTGCTAACCTCAAGGTCAGTGGTTCAAACTCCTCTGTGGGAGAAGGATGCCACTGTCTGCTCCCTTAAAGATTTAGATTATATCTCATTGTTTTAATTTGCATCTCTTTAATGGCTAATGAGTCCTGGTGTGGTGCTGTAGGTTAAGCACTGAATTGCTAGCCTCAAAGTCAGCAGTTGAAATCCAGCTCAGAGTGTGTGCTAAGTAGCCTAATTTCAACACATAGAAATCCTCAACACACAGTCATATGTTTGAAATATATCCAATTAATTACTTTTTTCTTTTTTCCTGAAAGGAGCCTGCAAGTGGACTGTTCCTGAGGACCAAATAGACAAGCTGCTACTAGCAAATTGGGGACTTCCTAAAGCAGTGCTGGAGAAGTATCACAGTTTTGGTGTAAAACAGATGTTTGAATGGCAGGCAGAATGTCTTTTGCTTGGACAGGTCCTGGAAGGAAAGAATTTAGTCTATTCAGGTATTCAGATTTATACAATTTAATTCCGCTGTTATTTTCAGCCATTTTTAATGTAAAAGATACTATTGAGAGACTTATGAATTTTTAAAAAGCTCATGAGTAGTACTTTATGAAAAATTAAAAATATATATAGAAAGTGGAGTCTCATGCATTTTTAAATTATGTAAATTCTATTTTATGACTAGAGAAAAAGCATGAAAAAACACAATTAAAGAATGGGCAATTCTTTAATTATCTTTAGTTATCTTTAGTTATCTAGTAAACTAAATACCACAGGTGGGTAGCTGTAATGAACAGAAATTAATTTTCTGAACAGTTTAGGAGGTTAGAAGTTCTAATTCAAGGCAGGTGCTGGCTCTAGGGTCTGGCTTTCTCTCTTTGTTAGCTCTGGGGGAAGGTCCCTGTCTCTTTTCAGCTTCAATTCCTGGATCCTTGGAGATTGCCATGTGGCTTGGTTTCTATCTGTCTTCCCTTATCTCTGCCACTTAATATGCTTTTATATCTCAAAAGGAATTGACTTAAAGCACATCCTACCCTGATTGTATGAGTTGTAACCGACTCGACGGCACTTAACGACAACAACAAATTTTATAAAGTGACCTGCTTATATAGGGTTGTATATGAAAAACCATATACAAATAACATACTTCATTGAAGATTTATATGGGTTTTCAAGGGAAATGTTGACATACACAATTTTTTTTAACTTTTTATTGTGAATTGAGTGAAGATTCACAGAACAGATGATCCGTTTTACATTCAATAAATCACACACTTCTTTCATCTCAGTTCCTGCAATCTCCTCAGTTTAGTATCACATCCCACTTCCTCTCTGTGATTCTTGTTTCCACTCAACTTTCTTTTTCAACACTTCTGAATTTTGTCCTTAGGTAAATGCTGCCCTTTTGATCTTGAATGATTGGTCATTCCATGGTATACAGACTTCACTTGTGTTGCTGTACTCACTATATACCTATCTACTGCTAGGCTGCAAATTGAGCCACGTGGGTGAGTTCAGTTCCAAATCTGACTGGAGTGATTGAAGGCCATAGTCTTGGGTTCCTGCATTCTCTCTCTGACCAGTAAAGCAGGTCTTCCTGACATTTTTGAGTTTTGTTCCACATTTTCTCCCATTCTATCCAGGACCTTCTAATATGGTCCCTTTCAGAAGAGTTGCTAGTAGATGGTCCAGGTACCATCTCGTTCTTCTTGTCTCAATTAGGCTTGTAGTGACTGATGTTCATATACTCCATTAATCCATTGGACTAACTGATTGCAAATGTCTTCAATTTTCATCATTCTTTTTTCCTCCACATAAGGAGAGACCATAGTTGCACCTCACGAGCTGTTCAGATTCCAGTTACTACTCATCTTTGTGGACTATGTTATACCAATTGACCATGGTGCCAATTTTTCATAATTTTTTCCCTGTTTGGCTTCCCACATGCCTGCATATTTTTGCAGCAATGGTTAATACTTATGTTCAAATATCCTCTGACAAACCTTTATATATTTTATGAGCCTGTGTATCTATCTATGTACCTACCCATAGATCACTGCTATTGCAGGATTGTGCATATAACAGTATTCACCTATATTTCCTTCAACTCCCTCATGCCTCACTGTGTCTTCCCCAGCTCCCATCACTTGTCTGCCAACGTACTGTTTGGTGTGTATTGCCTTCCCCATCAGTCTAGTGGTTATGAATTGGACTGCGAACCGCAAGGTCAGCAGTTAGAAGCTACCAGCTGTTCTGTGGGAAAAAGATTAGGCTTTCTACTTCCATAAAGATTTATAGCCTCGGAAACCCTGTACAGGGTCGCTATGAGTTGGAACCGACTTCACGGCACATAACGACCACCACCACCTTCTAGCCAAATAATTACTTCCCCTTCCCCTGGTAATCATCAAAAAATGTTTATTTTAGCATAAAAAGCTTTTCTATCTCTTTCCCATTTAATGTGTTTTGGTCATTTGTTGATGATCAGCTGACTATATATAGGTGGATGGATTTACTTCTGGGTTCTCAATTCTGTTCCAGTGATCTGTGTGTCTTTTGTTGTAGCAGTACCAGGCTGTTTTGACTACTGTGACTGTGAAGTAGGTTTTGAGATTAGGAAGTGAGAGACTTCTTACATTCTTGTTTTTTGTTAATGCTTTGCTTAGCTGGGCTCTCTTTCCTTTCCCCAAATAAAGTCAGTGACTAGTTTTTCCATTTCTTTAAAGAATGATGTTGGAATCTGGATTGGGATTGAATTATATCCATAGATTGCTTTGGGTAGTATTGACATCTTGCTATCCATGAGCATGATCTATTCTTTAATTTTTGGAAGTCTCTTTTGGTTTCTTGTAGCAGTGTTTTGTTGTTTTCTTTGTATACATCTTTTATTTCTCTGGTTAGATTAATTCTTAAGTATTTCATCATTTGCGTGACTATTGTAATTGATATTAGTTTCCTGATTTGCTTTTCAGAGCTGTCTTCATTAGTGTAAAGGAATCTGACTTTTGTGTGTTGTGTTGATCATGTATCCTGCCACTTACAATGAGTTCCAATAATTTTCTTGATGAGTCACTGGGATTTTCTATATGTAGGATCATATCATCTACAAATAGATAGGAGTTCTACTTCTTCTTTGCCAATTTGGATGCCTTTAATTTCCTTTTCTTGTCTTATGGCTCTGGCTAAGACTTCCAGCACAATATTGAATAGAAGTAGTGATAAAAGGAAGGTGCTCTGGTAGTGTAGTGGTTACGAATCGGGTTGCTGACCTCAGAGTCAGCAGTTTGAAACTACCAGCTGTTCTGCAGGAGAAAGATGAGGCTTTTTGCTCCCGTAAAGGTTTACAGTCTTGGAAACCCTGTACAGGGTCGCTATGAGTCGGTACTGACTCCATGGCACATAACAACAACAACAACAAGAGTGATAAAAGGCACCCTTGTCTGCTTCCTGTTTACAAGGGGAATGCTTTCAGATTCTCTCCTTTGAGAGAGATGTTGGCTGTTGATATTGTCTTATTGTTGTTAAGTGCCATCGAGTTGGTTCCGACCCATAGTGACCCTGTATAAAGTTTCCGAGGACCAGCTGGCGAGCTTGAACCACTGACCTTGTGGTTCAAACTGACTTTGTAGTCCAGTGCATTAACCCACAGTGCCACACAAGCCATCTTGTATGTTGCTTTTGTTAAGTGCTGTTGAGTCGGTTGTAACCCATAGCGACCCTGTATAGGGTTTGAGCAGCTGGTGAGCTTGAACTGCTGACCTTGCGGTTCCAACCGACCTTGTAGTCGAGTGCATTAACCAACAGCGCCACACCAGGATTGCCCTTAATTATGTTGAGGAATTTCCCATACATTCCAATTTTTTTAAGTGTTCTTATCAGGAATGGGTATTGGATTTTGTCATATGCCTTTTAGACTTCAACTGATTTAGTCATCTGTTTCCCCCCTTTGTTTTATTTATGTGGGTAGATTATGTTGGTTTTCTTATACTGAACCATCCCTGTATGCCTGGTATGAATCCCAGTTGGTTGAATGTACTATTTTTTGGGTATGCTATTGGATTCTATTGGCTATGATTTTATTAGAAACTTTTCATCTATGTTCATGAGGAATATCTATCTATAATATTCTTTTTAGTGATGTCTTTGCCTGGTTTTGTTATCAGGGTTATGCTTGCTTCATAAAAGGAATCTGGGAGTTTACAACCTTTTCTATATTCTAGAATAGTTTGAGTAGTATTGGTAGAATTCACCATTAAAGACATTGGGACCAGACTTTTTTTGGTGTTGGAGTTTTTTAATGACTTAATCAATTTCTTTTCTTGTTGTAGGCCTCTTCAAGTCTTCTAACGCAGTCTGTGTTAGTTTAGGTAGATTGTGTGTTTCAGGAAATTTGTCCATTTATTCTAATTTTTCAAATTTTTTTGGAGTACAAGTCTTTATAATATTTTATTATTATCCTTTTTATTTCCATTTGCTCTGTTGTGATATCACTCATCCTTTCTTATTCATCTTATTTTCATTTTCTCCTTTTCTTTGGATAAATTTTCCAAGAGTTTGTAGATTTTGTTAATGCTTTCAAAGAACTTTTTTTTTTTTTTTTTAACTTCATACAGGGCTTGTCTTTGGTATTATGGCCTGTGCTCTCATTTTTCACATACAGAGGTTAACCGTAACAGAAACAGAAACAAAAGGGACAGTTTGAGGGAATTACTTCTTGCCTAACATGCCCCTATGTGTGCACACAGAAAAAGCAAGGGAAATTCAAAAGTGAAGGCGGTAGTGAGCGCAGGAGACACAGATCCAAAGACTCCCAAGAAAAAGATTCTTGACAGAGCTGTTAGGAGTGTTCAGTTACTGTGCTCCTGGGCTCATCAGTCCAGGCGGCCAGCAGGCCTCCTAGCAAGCAATATCACCCACAAAGGAGACTAAGTCCCTTTGTTAGTAATACTACTTACCAGAATTCTGCGAGGTTCCTGAGCGTGGTCGCCAGACATGTTGCCAAACCAAAATGAGGGTTTGTCACCTGTCACTATAGTCAATCACAGAGATGGGGAGAGATCCAATTCAAGCTTTATTAGCAGAAAGCCAGCAGTCTGGAGGACAGAGAGAATAATTTCTCAAGACCATCCTTGAGAACCACTTGTTTTTTTTAAGTTTTTATTTTAAGTAAAGTTTTTATTTTATGTGAATTGAATGATAGTGTACGTGGGAAAACACTGGTTTTACACTCACCCGGTTGTGTTTCATTTCATTTGCAATGATTACAATCCCCTCCGTGCATCATCATTAAATAGTATTTGTGTCTATAATCATTCACACCACCAAAGGGCACATTCTGCAAGCTTGCCTCCTGGTCACCAGCGCAGTTTTTCTCTTTCCATGAGTCTAGAGTCTGTAGCTGCTCTCTCTCCATGCCATCACCTCTGCCTCCATCTCTGGTATTGCTGGATACGGTCTCACATTCTGCTCATGCTCTTATCCGTTGATGTTCCTAGGGTCC